CATGTTAGAAGATGTACTACGAATTTGGGTATATATATATATTTTTTTTCTGTTTGTTTTAAAGATTTTATTTATTTATTTGAGAGAGAGAACGAAATAGAGAGAGCATGAGAGGGGGAGGGCCCGAGGGAGAGCAGACTCACTGCTGAGCAGGGAGCCCGATATGGGACTCAATCCCGGGACTCCAGGATCATGACCTGAGTCGAAGGCAGTCGCTTAACCAACTGAGCCACCCAGGCGCCCCGAATTTGGATATTTTTATACTAAATCTAAGTGAGCCTTTGAGATTTCTGAACTATTCAGTGATTAAAGGGATCTCTTAACAGAAATAAATTCAGCAAAACTTAAGCAGAAAATATTATATTAAAAAGAGTGAAAGACATTCAGATTATCCAGAAATGCTGGCACAATGATCTCTTGAGATTTCACAACCAAAATCAATATCCAACATGTGCCTAAGAATGGTTTCTATGATTCAGACCATTCATAGCTCAAAAATCATATGATGGGCTCCTCTGAAAACAGGGTGAATTGCAACAAATTTTTATTTATTATTCTTGTGCTGTTTGCTTACTGGATAAAAACATCCCTTGCTTTTTGTGAGATCTACCCCAAAATAAAAGTTTGAAGTTAAATAATATAATGGGAAGTATGAATATATGCCTTTCCCATACTTGAGAGTCAGACAAGGAAGTGACTATTTAGTACTAGCATAGACATCAGAAATTTTGTTTTCTAAGACATGTCAGGGGAGAAGTCAGACAGGAAAGAATTGGTAATGTTCTATAAACTTTCTGTTGAAACAAGAGTCCTGTTGAAACAAGTCTTCTTAGTTTTTTTTTTTTAATGGTCTATTCTTTGTGATGAATATATAAGAAATATACATTTCAAAATATACAAATTTGTTTATCTATTTAAAACCTGTATTAAATTAAAAATTGGGGGCACCTGAGTGGCTCAGTTGTTTAAATGACTGACTCTTGACTTTGGCTCAGGTCATGATCTCAGGGCGGTAAGATTGAGGCTTGTGTTGGGCTCTGCACTGAGTGTGGAGCTTACTTCTGATTCTCTCCCTCCCTCTCCAACTGTCGCCCATCCTCTACTCACACACACCTGTTCTCTCTCTCTCTAAAAAAATAAAAATAAATAAATAAAATAGCTCTAATAGAAAATTTCAAGAGTATAACACAGTTTGTATCACTAACTATATTCACATTGCTGTACATGAGATCTTCAGAACTTATTCACCTTGCATAATGGAGATTTTACAGCCTTTGACACAAATCTCCCCACATTTCCCCTTCCCATCAGCCACTGACAACTGCCATTTAACTTTCTACTTTTAAGAGTTTGATCATTTTAGATACCACCCACCAGTGTAATTGGGCACTGTTTATATTTTTGCATGTGACTCATTCTACTTAGCATAATGTCCTCCAGTCTCATATATGTTGTTAAAAATGGAAGTAATAACTTTTTCAGGGCTCTTATATATTCCATATTTATCCATTCCTTTGTTGATTAACTCTTAGGTTGTTCACATCTTAGATATTGTGAATAATGCTGCAATAATCATACGAGTGCACATATTCTTCAAAGTATGGATTTTACTTCCTTTGGGTATATATCTATATATACCTGGGATTGCAGTATCATATATTATTTCTATTTTTAATTATTTAAGGAACTCCCATGCTCTTTCATATAGTGGCTTTACCAATTGACATTCCCAGCAGCAGTGCACAAGTATCTCCTTTTCTCTACATCCTGAACAACACTTATTATTTTTTGTCTTTATTATAAGAGACATGGCTCATTTAATTGGCAGGCAGGATAGGGCATGACCCTTGCCACTGTCCATGCTATTAAGCTGGAAGGAGAATGTAAACCTTGGTGTTCAACATCCTCTCCATGCCAAGGACAGTTTCAGCACCTCCCCTGCTATTTGTGGAAAATTAAGTCCTGAATCATTTGTGATGAGGAAAACAAAGGCAGGAAGAATATAACCACAAAGGAATCATCTTACAACATGTGGCCCACTAATATACACCTAAGACATGCGGAAGATGACATTCCTAAAGGGTCTCATGACTAATGGTTTACTACATAGTGAATGGTAACCTGATCTTGACAAAAATCAGACCTCCAAGGCCCTTGTAAAGCTCACTTTCAACACACAAATTCCTTAGAGATTTACTTATCTTTAAGTCAAACTCACTAACAAATATATAATCAGTCACTCCTCACAATCACAAGTATAACTCTTTCTGCCCATGAGTCCTGTCCCTACTCTTTAATAAAAGCAACTTTTTGCACTGAAAAAGACTCAGGAATTCTTTCCTAACCATCTGCCTGATGGTCCCACATCATTTGACATTCTATTTGCGCTTTTAAGTTGTGGGTTCTTTCTGTGCCCCAGGGCAGACAAATCTGTTCAAGGACCCTTAGTAGTATCCCTGTCCATAGCATTTCTCAGCTTGGGGGGAAGGTCCTTTTGTTACCAAGTCTCCATCTCTCTTTCCATTCTGTATGTGATCTCTCTATTTTTTTAAGTGTAGATGCTGTTCACTCAGCCCTCAGTTCTTCAGTAGGAATTGTTCTATATATAGGTGTAGATTTCATGAGGAGAGGAGGAGGTAAGTTCAGAGTTTTCCTGCATCTCTCTGTTGAACAGAACTTGAGGCTTTTTTTCCCCCAAAATTAGTCATTGTGGGTTTGAGGGAAAATGGTAGATTAGGAGGACCCTAAGCTCACCTCATCCCATGCATACTACTAGGTAATACTTACATCATTGTAAATAATCCACAAAATGGCCCTAACATTGCCAAAACAAACTCTACAACTAAATGTAAAGAAGAGACCACATCAAATAAAGTAGGAGGGGCAAAGGTGCTGTTGGGAGCTAAATAGACCCACAGGACTGTCTGTGTGAGGGAGGGACACTGAGGGCACTTATAGGGGAGAGAAAAAGACCCATACATATGGACAGTCCACAGAGGGAAAACAAATACCCATAATATTTGGTTTTGAAAACTAAAGGGGCCGGATTTTGTGAGCTCTTACAACCAGCAGGACTTAAACTTAGAACTTTAATAATCAGTGGGATCAGGTCTGGGAGAACAAGTAGGGTGAGAAGAAGCTGATTCTATGCCTTTGAAGAGACCACACAACAGACAGACCAAAGAGATACAGCACAGAAGAAACAGTTTGCAAAACACTTGGGGCATATGGAAGAGATATTAACTTAATGATCTCAGAGCATGTTCTGGACGGCCAGAGATCCTTGGGAGATTTCTCCAGTAAAAAACAACAACAATAACAACAACAACAACAATAACAACAATAAAACTTTGAAGGGGCCTTTCCTTACTCCGTTCCCAGCATAAACAAATAGTCTCATGCAGGCAAACAGGACTTTTCTATCTGCTACCTGACCTCATAACAGTGTTGCAGTGCCCCTGCATGCAGTCTGTGCATCTGCCTCCTCCAACTCCATTGGCCTTGCTCTCTCCAGCTACTGGACTCCTCTCATAGAAGACCTGCACACAATCCTTGCTGACATTACACATCTGTCTCAAACACTTTGTGAATCCGTCACCCACAATACAGTCTAGGCTGGAGCCCATCCATAGTGTTGCCACAGCCTGGCAGTGTCAAGCGGCCATGACAAGTGCCAGCACAACTCCAGAGTAACCCCTGCCCTGGGGAGAGGGAAAGATAGTGACACGGGCTAGTTAAACTCATAGTTCAGGAATGTATGTTGGCATATAGTTGGTTTGACTATTGGGCCCACCCACCAGTGAAAGTTTCTCAGGGGACAATGCAGGGAAAGTTTCGTGCTATTGTATCTCCTTAAAATGCCTGGTACATCTCAATTCATGGCCAAGGAGGACCACACTGTCTTACTAACACCATAGGTACCAAACACTGCCCACAACAAGAAAGACAGCCACTGCTGAAACCTGAGATGAAGGGAAATGTGGCTCAGTCACAACACTAGGTGCATATAACACACATAAGAGAAATGCTTGAAGCACCAGGCACTTGTGAACAGGGATCACTGCACCGCAAGGCACTGCAGGACCTCTTCTCCATAAGACCACTATTTCAAGAACAGGAGACAAAGATGGCTTTCTTAACACAGAGACACAGACACAGAGATTTAGACAAAATGAGACAAAGAAATATATCCCAAATGAAAACCAGAACAGAATCACCAAGAGAACAAAATGAAACAGAGTAAAGTAATATGCCTAAAAAGGAATCTAAAGTAATGATCATAAAGATATTAACGGGATTTTACAGAAGAGTGAGCACAGCAGGAGACCCTTAACAAAGATATAGAAAACAGGAAGAAAAAAAAAACAGAGATGAAGAATATTCTAACTGAAATTTAAAACCCAGATGGAATAAACAACATGCAAGAGGAAGCCGAATGAATCAGCAAACTGGAGGACAGAATAATAGGAAGTAATCAAGCTGAGCAGCTGAGAAAAAAATGAGAATAGACTTAGGGAACTCGGCAATAACATCAAGTGCAATAATATCTGTGTATAGGGATCTAAGAAAAAGAAGATGGAGAAAAGGTGACCAAAAATGTTTTTGAAGAAATAATATCCAATGACTTCCCAAATAAGGGGAAGGAAACAGAATTCCAGATCCAGGAGACACAGAGAACCCTCAGTAAAGTCCACACCAAGATGAATACTATTAAAAAGGCACAAAATAGTAATAAGTAGAGAATTTTAAAAGCAATAAGAAAAACGAAAATAGTTACATACAAGGGACACCACATCAGGCTATCAGCTGATTTTTCAGCAGGAAAATAAATAAATAAATGCTGGCCAGAAGGGAATGACAGGATATATTCAAAGTGTTGAAAGGAAAAAAAATGTGGCCAAGAATACTATATTCATCCACAAAGGATATCATTTGGAATACAAGGAGAGATAAATAATTCTCAGACACAAAAAAATTAAAGGAGCATGTGAGGGCGATCTCGCTGCGACATCTGGCACCCCATTGATTGCCAGGGTTGATTTAGCTGATCTGGCTGGCTAGGTGGGTGTCCCCTTCCTCCCTCACCGCTCCATGTGCATCCCTCCCAAAGCTGCGCGCTTGGTCGAAGAGCACGACCTTCCCCGATAGAGGAGGAATGTTCTTTGGTCAAGGGTATACGAGTAGCTGCTCCCCTGCTAGAACCTCCAAACAAGCTCTCAAGGTCCATTTGTAGGAGAACGTAGGGTAGTCAAGCTTCTAATACTCCAGACACATCCAAATGAGGCGCTGCACGTGCCAGTCTGCCTTTCTAAAAAAAAAAAAAAAAAAAAAAATTAAAAAAATACATGACCACTAAACCAACCCTACAAGAAATGTGAAAGGGGACTCACTGAGTGGAATGGAGAGACCACATTTAAGAGTAAGAAAAGTAGGAAGCACAAAAGCACTAAAAATAAGTATATTTCAAAAAAGTCAGTCAAAGTACTCACAAAATAGAAGTATGTAAATTATAACACCATATACCTAAAACATGGATGGAACGAGAGTAAAGAATGGATCCACTTAAACAATCTTACCTTTATAGAGACTGCTATATGCAGAAGAATTTCCGTACAAACCAAATGGTAACCACATATCAAAAGCCCATGATAGATATGGCAAAAACAAAGAGAAAGGAATTCAAGTATATCAGTAAAGAAAGTCAGCAAACTGTGAAAGTTGTTAAACAAGAGAAGAAAAGATCAGAAAAGTACAGCCAAAGAGGAAGATGGCAGTGGAGTAGGAAGAGCTTAACTTTGCTTTGCCCCATGAACACATGATAACTATGAAATCATCATAAATGCCCGAAATAAACCTGAAGACAGAGCAAACTCCACATCAAAAAGGAGACGAAAGTCCTCATTGAAGAAGGAAGTGCAGAGACATGATTTAGTGCAGAAATGGGTGGTGGGTGCTGCAGATGAGAGGAAGCTGTGGTCATGGGGAAAGGTGAGAGAGGTGCACACACTGTAACTCACAAGGAGAAAGTTTCCCAAGGCTTTTGGCTTAAAACACAAGAGGGGCTGAATATCATGAGTTCTTGTAACCAGTGGGGCTTATAGCCTGGAGTTTTTAAGGTCAGTCGTCTTGGCTGATAGAGCTTGGAGTGCTCCTGAAAAGAAGGCATGCAAACAACCCATGGGCAGACTGCATGGAAACAGTGATCTGGGGAATGCCTGGGGCACACAGAGGGAAAATTATTCATTTTTCTTAGAGTGCATCCCTGAGAAGCAGCATTCATGGAGACACTTCTCTAGGAACAAAGGATCTGGCGGGCACCATTTCCTCCCCATTGCTCAACATAAATACAGAGACATCTGTGGGAAGCAGCACAACTCCAACACTTGCTACCTAATTTGCTTCCACCAAACCCCACACCCCTCTGCTCTGTGGGACTGTCCATCATTCATGCTTGTCTTAGTCCTATCACAGTGGCCCCCTCACAGAAAACTAACACAAATCCCTGTCCATTTCATGTTTCTCCACACAGAGTTCTATAAGACCTTGGATCTAGTACAAATGGTGTCAGGTCTCATTTTATAAGCAGGCAAGAACAAACCTAGTTCAAACTCACCATATTCAGACCCTGGGACCAAATAGTGCCCACATCAGTGAAGAAGAGACTCTGCAGACAACTGGCATAAAGGATAAGTCGGCCAAAACACAACAGCAGAATAAATTTAACCAAAGAGGTTAAAGTCCTGTGCTCTGAAAACCATAAAACACTGATTAAAGAAATTGAAGATGATGCAATGAAATGAAAAGACATCCCATGTTCATGGATTGGAAGAACACTTTTAAAATGTCTATAATACCCAAAGCAATCCACACATTTAATACAAACCCTATCTATCTATCTATCTATCTATCTATCTATCTATCTATCTATCATCTATCTATCTATCTATCATCTATCTATCTATAATCAGTTAATAACAATCATAAAGGAAGGAATCAAGAGTAACACCATAATAGTTGGGGACTTTAAACCAACACATGAATGGACAGATCATCCAAACAGAAAATCAATAAAGAAACTGTGGCTCTGATTGTATTTTGGACCAGATGGTTTTAACAGATACATTCAGAACTTTACAACCTAAAAGAGAAGAATACACATTCTTTCCAAGAGCACATGGAACACTATCCAGAATAGATCACATATTATGTCACAAATCAATTCTCCACAAATTCAAAAAGATCAAAGTCCTTTAAGACCACAACTCCATGAAACTAGAAACCAAGCACAGGAATAAATCTGGATAGAGCTCAGATAAATGGAGGACAAATATTATGCTTCTAATCAATGAATGTCTCAACCAAGAAATCAAGGAAGAAGTCATAAAATCCATGGAGACAAATGAAAATGAAAACATAATGGTCCAAAATTTTGGGGATGCAGGAAAAGCTGTTCAAAGAGCAAAGTTTACAGCCATACTGGTCTACCTTATGCAGTATGAAAATTCTCAAATAAATAACCTAAACTTACATACAAAGGAGGGAAAATATAAAAACAAACAAACAAAAAGACCAGGAGAAGGAAGGAAATAATAAAGATTAGAGCAGAAATAAAGACATAGAAAGTAAAATAAACAAGCAAGCAAAAAATAGAACAGAACAATAAAATCAGAAGCTGGCTCTGAAAAATCAATAAAAGGGATAAATCTTTACCAGACTGAAAAGAGAGAGAGAGAGAGAGAGAGAGAGAGAGAGGTAAACGATTCAAATAAACAAAATCACAAATGAAAGAGGAGAAATAAATCTATACCATAGAAATACAAAGGATGAGAAAAGAATATTTTAAAAAATTACATACCAACAAATTAGACAACTTAGAAGATATGTATAAATACCTAAACACACATAAACTTCCAAGACTGAATCAGGATGAAATAGAAAATTTGAACAGACTGATTACCAGCAATGAAATCGAATCAGTAATCAGAAAATGCCAAAGCAACAAAAACTCAGGACCAGACGGCTTCATAGGTGAATTCTAACAAACATTTAAAGAAGAGTTATTACAAATTGTTCTCAAACTATTCAAAAAAAATAGAAGAGGAAGGAAATTGTCCAAATTCATTTTATGAGGCCTGGATTACCCTAATAGCAAAATCAGATGAAGACAGAAAAAACAAACAAATAAACAAAAAACCTACAGGCCAATATCTCTGATGAATACAGATGCAAAAATCATCAACAAAATATTAAAAATCACAATCCAACAACATATTTAAAAAATTATTCACCATGATCAACTTGGATTTATTCTGGGGGTGCAAAGGCAGACAATATTTTCAAATCAATGAATGTGATGCATTACATCAATAGGAGAAAGGATAACATCCAAATAATCATTTCAATAGGTTCAAGAAAGCGTTTGGCAAATTACAACATCAATTCATGATAAAAACCCTCAACAAAGTATGTCTCAGGGAAACATAATGCTACCTAATAAGGGCCATCTATGAAAAGAAACACAACTAAAATCATACTCCAGTGAAAAAATGAAAGCTTTTCACCTAAGGTCAGGAAGAAGATAAAGATCTCCACTCTCACACTTACTCCACATAGGACTTGAGGTCCTAGCCACAGCAGCAAGACAAGAAAAAGGAATAAAAGACGTACAAATTGGTATGGAGGGAGTACAAACATAAACTTTTACAAAGGAATTGATTCTATATATTGAAAACCATAAGGACTTTATCAAAAAGCCCCTAGAACTGATAAAAGAATTCCATAAGGTGGCAGAACACAAAACAACTGCACAGAAATCCACTGCATTTGTATACACCAATAATAAAGAAACAGAAAGAGAAATGAAGAAATTAATCCCACTTAAAATTGCATCAAAAAATCATATAATAACTAGGAATAAACTTAACTAAGGAGGTGAAACACCTGTATCTGAAAAATATAAAATATTAATGAAAGAAATTGAAGGTGACACAAATACATGGATAGTCATTCCATGCTCATCAATTGGAAGAGCATATATTGTTAAAATGTCTATAAGTACCAAAGCAATCTACACATTTAATAAAACTCCTATAAAAATAACATTTTTCACAGAATTAAAACAAACAATCCTAAAATTTATATGGAAACGCAAAAGACCCTGGATAGCCAAAGCAACCTTGAAAAAGAAAAACAAAGCTGGAGGTATCACAATTCCAGATTTCAAATTATATTATAAAGCGGCAGTAGTTAAAACAGTATGGTACTGGCACAAAATATACACATAGGTCAATGGGACAGAATATAAAACCCAGAAGTAAACCCACAATTGTATGGCCAATTAATATTTGACAAAAACAGGAGAGAATATCCACTGGGAGAGGACAGGCTCTTCAACAAATGGTGTTGGGAAAACTGAACAGCTGCATACAAACATATAAAACTGGACAAATTTCTGACACCATCTGCAAAGAAACAACTCAAAATGGGTTACAGACCTACATTTGAGACCTGAAATCATAAAACTCCTAGATGAGAGCGTCAGCAGGAACTTCTTGGACATTAGCCACAGCAACATTTTTCTAGATGTGCAATGAGGCAAGGGAAACAAATGCAAAAATGAAGCATTGGGATTATATCAAAATAAAAAAGCTTCTGCACATGCAGGAAACCACCAAGAAAACTAAAAGACAGCCTACTGAATGGGACAAAATATTTGCAAATGAAATATCTGATAAATGGTTATTGTCTGTAATAGATAAAGATCTTACATGACTCAACACCAAAATAAATTAATAATTCCATTAAGTAAATGGGCGGAAGTCTAAGCAATATAATCCAGTCAGAAAAAGACAAATACCGTGTGATTTCAGTCATATGTGGAATTTAAGAAACAAATAAAATGAGGAAAGTAAAAAAAAAAAAAATGGACACAACACCAAAAACAGACAAGTCTAGAAAAAAAGCAGATTGTTACAGAGGGGAGGTGGGTGGGGGGATTGGTGATATAGGTGTAAGGGATTAAGAGTACACTTATATTGATGGGAACTGAGTAACGTATAGAATTGTTGAATCACTATATTGTACAACTTCAACTAGCATAACACTGTGTGTTAACTATAGTGGAATTAAAATTTAAAAAAATAATAAAATAATAAATACATAAATAATAAATACATAACAAAAATAAGTATGTGTGATCATTGATTAAGAGCTGTGTGATTTATGAATAATTCAATTGTACCAAACACAGAAATTAAATGTAAACAGAACAGGATTGTCTTTATGTTCCATTCCCCTCTTTCATGTCTTAGGATAAATCAAATGCCATGACTCCACAAGATTGGTTTTGTGGTGTTTCATGGGGAGTTCTGTGGCACTCAATCCTCACCAATTTTGATGCACTTGGGGGAACATAGGGAATATTTTAGGATCGTTTCACCCTTTGAGTTTTCTGAGGCATAGTAGCAATGTGAGTGTCTCACTCAGTACTTCTATGACTGAATATAGACTTGTCTTGACCTCTCCACACATAAGGATTGCGTCAGGATGATGCAGGAGTAGGAGCTTCTGGCGACATCTCTACACAGAAACGTGGATGTAAATAACCCTCCACCCACAGACATACGGTTTTGAGAGTTCTGGATTCCACATACAAGCAAGGGGTGAGAAAAGGCAAATTGGAGAGAGTAGAAAGGAGAATTTCACTTCCCCCATAGGGAAAAGAGAGTCAAGTGAGCATCCAAGATCACTGTGGACACAAGTGTTGAGCCCACGTTGCGTTACATTCTTGCTGGCCTGTGCAAAATTTCCGGCTAAATTGACTGCTAAAAGACTTTCCTCCTCAAAAGTGACTATTTCTTCAAATAAACACCAGTGCAATGGTACAAGGCTTACAAAGTGTCGGGGAAACATGACACTAGCAAAATAAAATAAAGCACAAGTGACTGACCATAAAGAAATGAAGATCTAAAAACTATCTGACAAAGAATTCAGAATATTTACCTAAATGAGAACAGAAAAATACCTAAGCAAAATCAGTAAAACCATATTTGAGCAAAATGATATGTTTCACAGAGATTAAAACCATTAAAAAAAAGCCAAATGGAAATTCTGAAAAACACAGTGACTGAAAACACAGTGACTGATGTGAAAAAAAAAAAAAATCAAGAGTCTGAACAGACTTGATCAAGCACAAGGAAGAATCAGTGAGCTCAAAGACAGAATACTTGAAATTCTCCAGTCGGAAGAGTAAAAGGAAAATAGACTTAAAAAGATCTTAAAAGAAAGCCTACAGAATTTATGGAATCCCATAAGAAAATCTATACATGCATCATGAAAACCCCAGAAGGAGCAGAGAAGGAGAAAGGGGCAGAACTCTTAGTTAAGAAAACAACAATTAAAAAACATGAAAAAACAAAACAAAACAAAACAAACAAACAAAAACAACTTCTGAAATCTGGGGAAGGAAATAAGCATGTAGATCCATAAAGCTCAAGGAACTCAAAATAGATTGGATATAGAGAAGGTGGTATGGAGGCACATTATAATTAGGAATTGAAATAACTTGAAAATATTATACAATTTTTTTAAACTGGGCCATAGTTACCTTTTCTCAAGTAAAAAGTGTACTTAATTCAGTTACTGGAAGCCAGGAAAAAGATAAGTACATTTAAAGCATTTTCTGCAATGAAATTGCATTGTTAAACATTGTTTGAATATTATTGCTTCAAAGGGAGTAATATAATTGTTTTCATTATTTAGTGTATTAAGTAAAAATTGTTTTATACTTTACTATTTTTTTTGCAACAGAATAGAAAAAAATTGAAAAGATGTCACACCTACAATAAATTAAAGATAGCTCTCATATTTGTGATATTTTAAGAATTTCTATGTTTTTATTAAACTAACACATTCAATTGTACTATTAAACTTGTTGGCCAATATAATCAAAATTGGGAAATAAATTAATATCTACAGACACATAATTACTGTGAACTTACTGGGCAAAAATATATAAATATATGATACATAACTTGAGAGACACAATGATATCAGAACAAACTGAATAAATATAATTGTTTCTTTAACCACTGAATTGACCCTTAATACACCTGTGAAAATATCTAAAGAACGCCTTCCCCAACCTTGGCTTAGGTCTATTTGGGGCTATTAGTAACTTAACCTGTATTGTCCAAGTCTCAGTGGACATTCCCAAGTGAATTCAAAAGAAAAAACAAAACAAAACAACTAACCAAACAAACAAAACAAAACAAAGCAAAAGCAATACAGTCAATCTCCAGTTACAGAAAGCATAGAATCATTGTTGCTGCTTCCTTTCTGGGAGGTATCTAAAATGTCAAAGTGTAGAGGTGAAAAAGAATATGTACACTTGTTTGGAAAATATTTGAAGATGTTTACTCATAAAATGACTTTGTTTATATGATGATGACTGGACCACTGTCAGCTACCCAAGCCAGTGTGTTTGTGAAAGTGCAAAGATAATACAAGGTACTCCAGTAACACTGTTTTCTTATTTTTAATAATCATACAAGAAGTGAACACCTCAGCAAGTGCTTAAGAGAACTTTATTAAGTATTTAAGACTACTGTGTATAATAAGGAATAGATACATTTAGGCATCTGTTTAACCAGAGAAGTCTATTTTCTTTATTTGAGTGAAGTAGGTTTAAACAACAAGGAAATAATTTATGTTAGAGTATGTATCATTAAAGAACAAAGACATGGTTTGGGCAATTGAACAAGTGTTCTTTTTTAAGATATTAAGTTTTGTAAAACATAAAATGTGTTCTACAATTCTGAGAATTAATCTGATTGTGAATGACTGTGAAATGATAATGAAACACAGTAAAAGGGTTAATAAAGGCTACTGCTGATATCATCTATGAACTACTGCTCTGGATTTATGATGAGTATTGCATGAGCCTCCACTTAACTTGCAATATTCTGAAATATAATTGATAATAATTTTGATACTCTCTGATAAAATATATAAGAAATATTATATAAATTACAATGCTGTAAAGCATGATGGCTAATTGAGATTAGAGAGTGCACTTGTGATGAGCACTGGGTGATGTATGGAAGTGTTGGATCACTATACTGTACACATGAGACTAATATAACCCTATATGTAAACTATAGTGGAATTTTAAAATTACAATATTAAAAAACAACTTTGGCAATGAATTACATTTTCAGAAATGAAGACGTTTTCATGCAAGTGCATGATGCTGTCATATAGGTGTTGATCACATTGCACTAACTTGCAGTTGGATTGAAATTATTCATACTTTAAGGCGATCAATTTAGGAAATAAGTGATGTAACCTATGTAAGAGTTGCCTAAGTATAGATGATTTGAAATGGAGTTTGAGTGGCTACACTTTTCCCAATAGTGTTCAGCAGGAATTGTAGAATGTAAAATAGACAACAAAACATGGTTTTTGAGCTGATTTGCAAACGTGCTTTCTGGATGGGAATTGGGATGAGGATCCTAATGGAGTATGCTTTGGACGTGCTTAAGTGATAATTAAAGAAAACGAAAACTTAAGGGTCCAAACCCTCAGTAAGTTTGTGGAGGACAATTGTTTTGCTTAGTTGTTTCTTCTTTTTCCACGAAGGAAGAGTGCTTACATGGCCCCGTGGCAATCTTAATGGTGCTTCCTACTTGCTTTTTACCCTACATACATTCACTCTTTCTAATTAAAACCTAGAAATTACTTGTCTAGATTTTATATTTCTATATAAAAATCAGAATACAGGTATCCCTCCTTTTTTGTATCTGTTACACCAGTTTTCTTTTCTTTTTTAAAGATTTTATTTATTTATTTGAGAGAGACAATGAGATAGAGAGAGAGCATGAGAGGGGGTAGGGTCAGAGGTAGAAGCTGACTCCCTGCTGATCAGGGAGCCTGATGCCAGACCGATCCGGGGACTCCAGGATCATGACCTGAGCCGAAGGCAGCCGCTTAACCAACTGAGCCACCCAGGCGCCCCGCGCCAATTTGCTTTTCAAAAGACGTACTTCAGGACCGTTCATGCCAACCCAAAGAAATCTGAAAAGATTTCCACTTTCAAAAAAAATGTAAAAGGTGAAATGGTATTCAGTGTGTGTTTGGCAGCAAGCCATCAGAGAGAGAGCATGCACACAGAGCAGTGGGGGTGGAGCGTCAAGCCGCATCCCTAGGCTGACCTTAAAAGTCTCAGCATTCATGCTGCATAGCTTTGAACTCTGTGTGTGTGTGTGTGTGTGTGTGTGTGTGTGTGTGTGTGTGTGTGACCCCTGGTTACATGATTTATTTTGTATACCCATCAGTAAGATGTGTTCTAAGGTATCAAAAAAAGCTTAGGGTGCCTAGGTGGCTCAGTTAGTTAAGTGACTGCTTGCGGCTCCAACCATGATCCTGCAGTCCCGGGATCGAGTCCCGCCTGGGGCTTCTTGCTCGAGGGGAGTCTACTTCTCCCTCGGACCCTCCCCTTCTCCATGTGCTCTCTTTCTCATTCTCCCTCTCTCCAATGAATGAATAAAAATCTTTACAAAAAAAGAAAAGCCTAGGAGTGGTTATTTTTTGAGTTGGGTAATGATGAAAAACTTTTCATAAAAATTAATGGTAACTGTTTCTTCACTTCATGCACTTTCAGCTTACGGAAGATTTTATAGGAGTGCTCTACTTTCAGAGAGCAAGGGGAACCTGCATGTAGTGAAGGTATAAGAAAAAAAAAGTCTACTGGTGTGTGTTTGTGTGCACGTGTGTCTGTGTGTGTGTGTGTGTGTGTGGAAATTTTAAAGGACAACTTCTGGAAATAATCCAGGTAAATCTATATTTAGTTTTGGTAATCTATTTGGTTGTTTTAAACACAAACTAAGTGAAATTGTTGTGTTTATGCTTGTAATTGTTACATTTATTTTTTACTTTCATACACATGAACACATTTCCAGTGAAAAACCACTAATAATGAAAATATTAAATCATTGTGATGACAATGATAATGATAAAGATGGTAAAATTTACAGCTATTCTTAAGTGATAATTTATAGCCAAATAGTCACTACATTTTCACAAAGTCTTATCTCATAGATAACTTGTAATATCCCATGTTTCTTTATATCTGTTCTACATAAAATGTTCAGGCTCTAATAGTTAAATTCTTTAATCCAATCTCATATTTCTTGTAAGTAGGTGAACTAGAATTACATCTAGCTTTAAATCTAAACTATCTCCAGTGTGCTGGTAACAATGAGTCAAAATAAACCCATTCTCACTGCAAAACAGAATTTGAAGGACAGGTCCTCTTCTTTTTTTTTTTTTTTTAAAGATTTTATTTATTCATTTGACAGAGCGAGAGAGTGAGCACAAGTAGGGGGAGTGGCAGGAAGAGGGAGAGGGAGAAGCAGGCTCCTCAGTGAGTGGGGAGCCCAATGAGGGGCTTGATCCCAGGGTCCTGGGATCATGTCCTGACACTTAAGGACTGAGCCAAACAGGCACCCCTGAAGGACAGGTCTTCTAATTAGTTTCTGTCTTTGAAAAATTCTGCCTACCTAATTACGCACCGATCTACTTATGCTGATTCACCATTGTGGACTTTTAAGGAATTATATGGGTTAGAATCACACAAACATGCACCTACACGAATATTCACCGTGTGTTCCAGATCTCTTTATACTCTAACAAATATGTAGCTTTTTTAATGAAAGTATACATTGCTTGAATACTCAAGTACTATCATGAAAATTCCTAATTCACTAAAGTAATGCAAACTATGTACTCTTTGTCCCTTTAGTAGAATCTGTTACGGAAACACTTGAAAATATGAAATCTAATATAGAAATCCAGGAAAGGATTTCTTGTGCAGATTTACTCTGATCTAGAACCCACAGGGCCCTCCTCGGAGTCTATAAAAACCACTTACACTGATGTAAACTTTACATAACTGATGGTTATGCAAGATAATTATTTTGCTTTGAAAAAATAATTGTTACTGTAGGCATGCACAGTGAGGTATGATCAGCCAATTTTTAGGAACTAAGATTGACTTTATGTAGCTAATGCATTCACATCCCTCCCAGGAAAATTAATCTGGTAACCTGGATTATTGGTTTCCCAGGCTTCCAGTTGAATTAACAAAGTCACTGGGGAAGATCCAGCATTTTAGATTATTACAGGAATCTTGAGAAAAGAGAAAGGAATTCACATTTTTCTGAAACCTGGTGGAGAGTGCCTTGTGCTTTATCGGCTCTTAGAAGTCTAATCTGTGATTTCTTATAACTCTTCCAGCAAAGCCAAATTCAGGAGGCTCTTAGGTAAATCCATATCCTTTCCACACCTCTGTAAATGATCAGCCTTGTCGTATGATCAAGAATTATTTTTCTTTGAGCATAGTTTTGATCAAATCTGTAGAGCGCGTAGGGCATAAAAATCTGTGTGTCAGTGGAAAATTCTGTATTATCTAGGTCGAAAGGACATTTCCCAATTCTATCTCTAGGTCACTGCTTAGGCTTGAATAACTCACTTCATAACTCTGTGATTTTCTTTCTTTATCTTTTTAATAATGAGAAATAGTTTTTAAAATCATATGTTCTATAAATTTATGAATCAGTAAAATGGGGCTTTTTCAGTATTTAATTTTCAACTCTAAATATAAACATAGGAATAAAGGTCTGCAAACACACTGATGCATATTGACTTGAAGAGATGCAAATATGTAATTCATTTTGAACTTGGGCAGCATTTGGAAGGTTTTACACGTTATGTAGAATATGGACATCGATGATATAAATTACCTAGGAGATAATATGGGTGTGCCTTGCAAGCAAAATCTCCTAGGTAAAGACACTTTTGCACTGGGAACAGAACACAAATTGAATTTTATTTACAGCTTTTGAGAGACCATTTTTGTTAGACAATCTGTGTGACTGTCATGGGGTTAAGTGAAATTACAACAGAGCCAGTGTATCTGAGAAAAGAGAAGAACATGTCCAAAGAAGTAAACTGTAAACCCCCAAACAATATTATTTGTATTTCTAAGGAAGTTTTTGCATACACTTTTACCTTCTACTACCTACATAGAAGATCTATTTTAATAACATTAATTTATTATTTATCCTCCTTTTTCAGTTTGTCTGTGGGTGGAAAATATTGATCCACATTTATTTCAGATTCAGTACCTCAAAGTAGTTAATAGAGGTCAGGATCAAATACAATTTAATTCTGGAACATATTCTGACACATTCCAGTTATCAACTGATCTTCCTACCTTTACCTTCATACATTTATTTTCTCTTTCATGTGGGACAGGATCAAGATCCTAGGCTTGTTTCTTCTGTTCAGTGTGAAACCATCATCAGAATGTTTTCTGCTACTTCTTTCATCCCATATATTCTGTAAAGTAGATGTCAATATTGCAAAGTTTTTAGGGAAATTTTAAAAATCAATTGAAAATGACTTGTAAATAGGCTCAATATTGGTTATTATTGTTTTTCCAATGGGTAAAACCAACATAAAGGGAAAAAAATAAGTTACTTGGATTTATTTTTACCCAAGAAAAAATGCCTTCTTTACCTTGGGCCCTAAAATATTTAAGGCTGATAGGGGTCATTTAAATAATATCCCATGACAGGATGTTGGAACAGTGCAACATGAGTAATAAAAAAGTGCTCATCGGCAATACATGACATCAAATACCAGATTTCATGTGCCATTCACTATTTCCATTCTGTGCTGATTTTTTTTTTCACCTTTAGAGGTAAATAATACTAACTACCTCATTGTAAACCTCATCATAGACAGCTTTATATAAAATACATGTTCGGTAAGAGTGATCATAATTTTATTGGTAATTTCAAATTATTATATCCTTTACCTGTCAATAATTAAATTACTAATATAAATTGTATCCTATGGAAAATGGTCTAATATGTGATACATTAAATCCAAATGGCATTTATTTAAAAAAAATTGCCCTCTCACCCTTTCCTTTGCAGTTTGTCAGAGGCAACACATTATTAAAATGTTAACTGAACTGCACACATTCTGGTTCCTGTTGTAGGTTTTGTACAATAATCTTGGACTTCCAAACATGGTGTCATATCCAGGAAAACACAGTTAAATCCAGTGTGAAACTTTTGGAGTTTTGGAAAAACCCTAGGCTTTGTTTTAAAAGTTTACAGTTTTATCTCTCTATTTAGCAATTTGATGCATTTAATTTAATTTTTATATATAGCGTAAGGTCATGGTTTGATTTCACTATTTGCATGTGGATATCCAGGTTTCTCTGCACAGTGGTTTTTTGAAAAGACAGCCCCACTGAACGGTTTGGTGACTCTTGAGAAAATCACTTGACCACATATGTGAAGTATTTATTCTGAGATATCTACTTTATTGGTTTGTATTTGTGTTTATGGCATTACTACACTGTTCTTATAATAATAGTGTTTTGATTAAGTTTTTGATCAGAAAGCGTGAGTTCTCCAATTATTGCATGATTGTTTTGGCTGTCCAGGGTAACTTGAGGCTATATATTAATTCAAGGGTGTATTTCTTATTTCTGTAAAATCTTCACTTGGGATTATAATAGGCATTTCATTGAGTATGCAGTTTGCTTATGGTAGGTCGGGGTGGTTGTTTATGCAGGACAAATCATCGAAACCTCTATCCGTACAATACACTAAGTATTTTATTGTTTTGGATGGTATTACAAAGGTAACTTACATTTTTTTAAATTTAAATTCAATTAGCCAGCATATAGAATATCATTCAGATGTAGACCTTAGTGATTTCATCAGTTGCATAAAACACCCAGTGTTCATCACATCACATGCCCTCCTTAATACCCATCACCGAGTTACCCCATTCCCCCACCTACCTCCCCTCCAGCAACCTACAATTAAAAAAAAATTCTTACCACTATACATTATTTATGTATAGAAGTGATTTTGTGTATACAAATGATTTTGTATCCTGAAACTTTACTAAATTTGTTTAATAGTTCTAACATATTTTTGTAGACTCTTTAGAATTTTCTTCATACAAGATCATGTTTGCAAACCAAGATAACTTTACTTCTTTATTTCCAGTTTGGATTTTGTTTTTGCCTAATTGCTCTGGCTATACTTCCAGTATGATTTATATCAGTTTAATATTTTATTCAAGTAATGTAAGAACGTGATCTCAACAACCCATAAGGTAAAACAATGGTCCCATTACCCACCCATGATCTCCAAGGAAAATATTTCATATTATTTTACCACCTTTTGTTTCTATTTTCCACCAATATTTTTATCTTTAACAAATTCTAAATACCATCTCTCTTTTTTAATTTTTTAAAGATTTTATTTGTTTATTTGAGAGAGAGAGACAGCGAGAGAGGGAACACAAGCAGGGGGAGTGGGAGAGGGAGAAGCAGGCTCTCCGCCGAGCAGGGAGCCTGATGCGGGGCTCAATCCCAGGACCCCGGGATCATGACCTGAGCTGAAGGCAGACGCTTAACGACTGAGCCATGCAGGCGCCCCTAAATACCATCTCTTGACTCATCTCTCCAGCCACGGGGGATGGAGAAATTCCCCCACAATATACAATTAACTCCAACTTATTTTTCCTTTTCCCATCCTTTCAACATAGTTACATCCCATTTTTTTGTTTAAATTCAATTAGCCAGTATATAGTACATCATTGGTTTTTGATATGATCAATAATTCATCAGTTCATTATAACACCCAGTGCTCATCATATCATGTGCCCTCTTTAATGCCCATCACCCAGTAACCCCAACCCTGCACCCACCTCCCTTTCCACAACCCTCAGTGTGTTTCCCAGAGTCAAGAGTCTCACATGGTTTGTCTCCCTCTCTGCTTTCTTCCCATTCACTTCCCCCACCCTTATTTTTCTCTGCACTGTTTCTTATATTCCACATATGAGTGAAACCATATGATAATTGTCTTTCTTTGATTGACTTATTTCACGTAGCATAATACCCAACAGTACCATTCATGTCATGGTAGGTATTCATCCTCTCTGATGGTTGAGTAATGTTCCATTTTATATATGGACCACACCTTCTTTATCCATTCATCTGTTGAAGGACATCTTAACTCCTCCCACAGTTTGGCTATTGTGGACATGGCTGCTATGAACATTGGGGTGCATATGGCCCTTCTTTTCACTCTATCTGTATGTTTGAGATAAATACCCACTAGTGCAATTGCTGGGTCAAAGGGTAGCTCTATTTTTAAGGACTTGAGGAACCTCTATACTATTTTCCAGAGTGGCCGTACCAGCTTGCATTCCCACCAACAGTGTAAGAGGGTTTCTCTTTCTCCACACCCTCAAAAACACTTGTGTTTTCCTGTCTTCTTAATGTTTGGCATTCTAACTGGTATAAGGTGGTATCTCATTGTGACTTTGATTTGTATTTCCCTGAGGGCAAGTGATGTGGAGCATTTTTTCATGTGTCTCTCAACCATTTGTATGTCTTCTTTGGAGAAGTGTGTGTTCATGTCTTCTGCCCATTTCCTTATATCCCATTTTGTGTTTAGAATGGCAAGGTTGATGGTATTCTCCATCTTCCAGTATATATTGTTAGGATACCGAAAATAGAAATTGTTATAAAACCTGATATTTTAGGGGAACCTGGGTAGTACAGTCAGTTAAGTATCTGACTCGGTTTTGGCTCAGTTCCTGATCTCCCAGGCATGAGATCGAGCACCAGGTGGGTCTCTGTGATCAGTGCAGATTTGCTTGAGGTTCTCTCTCCCTCTCCCCGAATGCTTGTGCTCTCTAATAAATAAATAAATCTTTGGGGGAAAAATGATATTTTAGTTACTATTTCTATATATAAATACGTTCTCCTTATTTATTTCTCATTATTGCTACTATTACCTCTGTCAAGATATATTTAGGACCATATGTTTATAGGAAATATTGAGCATTTTTAGAAAATGGATTCAAGAAGATAATTAGAATTGTTAAGAAAATATCCTGCATGGCGCCTGGGTGGCTCAGTCGGTTGAGCGACTGCCTTCGGCTCAGGTCATGATCCTGGAGTCCCGGGATGGAGTCCTACATCTGGACCCCTGCTCAGTGGGCAGTCTGCTCATCCCTCTGAGCCTCCCCCATCTCATGCTCTCTCTCTCACACTCTCCCTCAAATAAGTAAATAAATCTTAAAAAAAACAAAACATCTTGCAATAAAATTTTTTTTCATTTTTTCCTGTATTCTGTTTATGCTGTTTGAATATGATGAACCATATGTATAATATTGAAGAACATTTTTTTTGATAATATTAACTCCATTATTATTTTTGTTTATGTATTTTTAAAATGACAATAAGCATACACATATTCTTGTATATTAATCCTTGAGTTCTCCTATCTTCTCAAAACGAAGTTTTTCATGTTTTGTTGTTGTGTTTTTGTTTTTGCTTTGTTTTGTGTTTTTACTCTAGTACATTTCTTTCTTCAGGTTGTCTTTAAAACTTTGACTTAATCTTTTTTATCAGATATAAATATATATGAGTATATAGTTATATATATATATTTGCAAGAGCCTTTCATTTTATCTGACATATACTTTTATTTATCTAATGGTATTTGTGTTGTGAATTAATAACATTTCACACTTCTTTGAACATATGAAACCAACTAAAGAAAATTTTCTGCGTTTTCCCGAACATTTTGGCTCATATTTTTTTGTGTTAGTGAGAGTGTGTGACTATGTCTGTGTGTGTGTGTGTGCACATATGTATGCATATTCCTGTTTCATGTGGGAGACTTCCTAAAAGTCTCGTATCATTTGGATCTAAAATAATATTTAAGACTAAAATGCTACATACTGTGTAGAGCTTGTTCACTTATGATGTCAGTGGCAAATTCCT